CAGCACCAGCACCAGCGCCAGCGCCAGCGCCAGCGCCAGCGCCAGCGCCAGCGCCAGCGCCAGCGCCAGCGCCAGTGCCAGTGCCAGCGCACCAGCGCCAGCAACAGCAACAACAGCAACAGCAACAGTTCACAGCGACAACAGCAACAGCGACAACAACAGCGACACATCATCATCATCATCATCACCATCATCATCATCATCATCACAATCAACAGCTGGCAACATGGTGTGGCTGTGGGCAAAATTACGTTCTGTGGTGGGGCCTCGGCCTGTCGTTGCAAGCATGTGTCGCGAAAGCTTGGTACGGGATGTTATAGGTATGCCCTCCCACACAGCAGCTTTGCCGCCAAGGTGACTATCAGAAACCATGAACTTCTGTTACATGCCTGTTTTCGCATAATGGCCGCCCAGGCCTGATATTAAACCCAGTGCTTTTGATTCACATCTAATTTGGTTTCTGTAGCAGTAGTTTGCACAAAGACTCCAATTGCACACATACTTAAACATGGTCGGCCAAAATGACCAAGAGTCACCGCTCTGCTGGATATCTGCCCATGGAATCAGTCCTGGAGCAGTGGATTACTGGTGATTCCTGAACATGGAACATCTGAAAGGGAGAACTTGCATTAGGTTTTGAATGAAGCTTCCGTCGGCTCGAGGACCCCTTGCCAAGAATAAATCCACAAGCTGTGCATTTGGAAGCGGCACTTCCTGACATCAGCGCCCCAACAGCATGTGCCTGACTTCCAAGAGTCCTCCCATCAGAGAAAAGATCGAAGAAAGCGGTGAAAGCGACCAGCCTATGCTGAATTCTCATGTGATGAGTCCATGCAAGTCTGATGCTTGAGAACAGCCATCTGTCCAGGCAAAGGGCTACCAACAGAACACATTAAGGTCTTGCTCCTTATCAACGCATCACTCGCCCAGAGCTGTATTTCTCAAAGACTGGCAGCGCCCTTCCTACCCCGAAGTTGATGATCAAACCCGATCACCAACCTTACCCGACAAAAGTATCTGTCCAATTTTCCTGGACCTTTGAATCTTCAAGTGGAGCTGCTGGCACCATCAGCCGTCTCCACCTATCACACAACAGCAACGAGCGCATACAGTACATGCATCTACATAACTAAGCTCATAAGCCAATTCGTGCGAATACTGTCTACATATATATATATACACATACATAGTTTTTCATATGCTACACCTGCCGACAGGCCTACCCTTTTGTGTGATTTATCTCTGCTCATGTACCCACCTCTAAACAAAGTGATTCAGAACTACATCGTCCTGTATCGTGGGCATAAGTGCTTGAGTTCTCATGCGTAATCGCGGCTTGTAGGAAAACCAACAAAACTGCTGTGCTGACAAAACATCCCAACGAAAAAAATTAACAACCTTCGAGGCCTCCGGGCGATGGGGACCCCTAAAGATTGGGACAACACAGCAACTGTTGCTAGTTTTCACGAAAAAAAGGACAGCACGGCATTTTTGCTAGGAAGCCAGCAAAATTGCTGTACTGTCCCAAAGTTTTCGCAAACAACTAGCAAAAAATGCTGTACTGTCCCAATCTTTGGTGTCCTGGGTACCCAGGAAGCCCCACAGGCTGGGGACGAGAGGTTTTTTGGGACAGTACATCGGTTTTGCTGTTTAGGATTGGTTCTTGTGGGACCGTACTGTACATCGCTTTTCTTGAAATTGCAAGATTCTACTATCCGTTTCAATCGTTTATGCGAAGGATTTTATATGCATATCGAACACCAGGAATCCAGGATTCTGGATCAGTTCAAATATCTAAAAGGGATTTACATGAGCCGGAACCATATTGAAAACCAGGACTTCAGGATTCCAGGATGTCGCTATCCGGTCTAAGTAACTTTAGTCCGGGGTTTAAGGACTGGCACCATATTGAACACCAGGAATCCATTCCAATAAAATTTCATACAGGATTTGTATGAACCGGGAACAAACAGCAAACGTTCAATCCACGATTCCAGTATTTCGGCATCCGTTCGCTCTAGCCAAGTTTCTTAAAGGATCTGTGTGAACTGCAACCAAGCCGAAAACAAAAAGCCCCGGGTACCAGAAAAAACTGCCGGTAGTCTGCAAGAGATCTTCAGAGCTAGTGACCACATTTATGTGTATATATATACATGTATGTATATACACCACCTTTCTGTGTTGGAAAGGTATCAAACGGCAGCTGAGCAGCTTACATGAGCTTTTTTGAGAAGCACATGGCTACTTGAAGAAAACAAAAAGCATGTAATAAAGTGTCTATATGGAACGGACTCATTTTGAACACTAAGAATCCAGGATACCAGAATGTCGGTACTTGGTCTAAATTAATTTGATGGGTTCTATGAACTGAAGCCAGATCGAAAGCCATGAACTCATGATCACAGGGTTTTGGTATCTGTTCAAATTGAATATAAGAAGGGATCTAAGGAAATCCACGTTGGGATTTAGTTGATTTCGATTAGGTTTCTAGAGGCAAAACTACATGCATATGTGGAATCTGAATTCAAATTTGGTTAGCTTTAATTCGGACTGCATAAACCACAAGAGAATTTGCTGTTCCTTAAAATTGATTCGATGTCAAACTTAGCGACATTTTCAATCAAGTAACGTCGATGCATGGATGGAATCCTAGTCAAATCTAGTTCACGCTTCAATGAAGCTCATATGGAAACCAGCAGCATCCACAAATCGTGCGTGCTAGCTGAACTTGCTGATTATAAATTCGGATTTGTATCAAGATAAAACTGTTCATTAATATGTTCAATCAGATTGAAATTGGGCCATTCTTTGAATTCGATTTTGTGAAGAATCAGGACCATCCAGGTTTCTGTGGAATCCTAGTTCAATTTGTTTAGCTTCCTGATGAAAGCTCATCTGGATTCCAGCACTACCCACGAATGTGTGATCTTGTTTTTGATTGGCTGCCTGTTGGAAACCATGATTCGCGGGTCAATGTTGGTAAGCTGCATATGGTACCCCCTCCCATTTTCTGAAAGTAAAACGGAATGAGTGGGAAAGAAACCCCGGGGTAAGGCTAGGCCGCCCCCGGCCTCGGCGGGCGGGCGGAAGAAGAACGGCAGCCCGGTACACGTGTGCGGCTCTGCTGCCCCGCGGCTGGAAAAGGCAAAAGAAAAACGGGAGCCCAGGAAACTCGGGTGCGACAAGGCCCCCTAGCCTCAACAAGCGAAGAAAGAAGGAATGCCCAGCTTTGGCTGTTTTTCTGTATACCGGAGGACTTTGTTCATGCAAAAACCCTTCTGCTGCCAAGACTTTGGGCGCAGAAACCTCAAAACAACACGGAAAACACTGTGTGTTTTCATGCTTTCCACATCTTTGGTAACGTGATTTATACGCTGATCACTTCAGGTTCTTCCTATGCATAGAGCTACCAACGCTGATTTTCTTTAAACGTCCCGCTTGGACAATTATTCTCAAAAGATTCTCATAACCTTT